AATTTGAATTTGATGTAATTATCATCAAGTTGAATTTGAGCTCAAGTAACTCGAATAGCTTGATTTATCGATTGAGCCAATTTTAAATATTTTTATATTTGACTCAAGTAGCTCACGAACCTAATCAAGTTTTATATTTTAATATATTTTAATTAATAAAATATCTTGAACTCGATATTGAGTTCAAGTATAAATAATTGAGTTTTTTGTAAAATATAAGAATTAAACTTATTTTCACATATTAATCGAACATAATCAAACAAATTTCAATAACTTTATTTCTATCTCGAGTCGAGCTCGAACTAAAAAAATAGAACTCGATTGAGTTCGAGCCGAGTTTTAAGTCTCGAATTTCAAGTTGAATTTGAGCTTAAACTTAATACTGTATTGACTCGAATTCGATTTATTATACCCTCAACCACGATCCTCCAAAAAAAATTTTATACAATTATAGTAGAATATTTTATCCTACCAAAAATAATATTTGATCCCCTCTTTTTGAATAAAATTATTATTTGATCTATCCTTTCTCTTATTACTGGCTTGGCCTCTGCTTTATTCCTTCCGGCTAAAAATTGTAACCTTTTTTAAATTTTTTTCTCTCTAGTAGCCTCCAATCATCTCCAATTGATTGGCAAATGCTTATTTCCTGCAATCTAGATTTTTTTTGTTATTAATTCATTAACTTGCTCAAGCTAAGCGGATATATCCCCAAAAGCCGAGACAACTAGTTATTTGGGTCACAAGATTATGCCAAATCATGATTAAGAAATGAGCAAATTCAGGATCTTGGCTACTAGATTATGTTTTAGATGACTATGCCATGAAGTCTGGCTGCCTCTAATTGGCAATAGTATTGCAATTTTTTGAAGTAGCTAACTATCTGTGGAGACTTGAACTTAACTTGTGAGATATTATTTATTTTAACTCGAATGTATCATGATTTTATCTCACAAGTTTAAGTTTAAATTGTTACATATATATCATAACAGAATTTCAAATTATCCTGATATAAGATTGGGATGTCACAATCAGAGATTTAAATAATGGTCGCAGTCGCATTTTCTATCACGTCGCGTTTATCGTATTTTTGAATATAATGGAGATCATTGTAGTTATCGTGATTATATCTATCGCGAATTTTTTTTTAATTTTGTATAATTTGTTATAAAATGTAATAATTATAATTATAAAAACTCTTATTTAATATTTTTTAAAATAGTTTATAACACTCTATGCTTTTTATTTTCTAAAAAAATTATTCATAATTTTATTTAGATTATAATAATCATTTATATTTGGTTTAGCAATAAAATTTTTACTTAAGTCAAGTTCATATTCAAAATTAATTCTAGACAAATCAAAGTATTAACTAAACTTAATAAATTAAATACTAAGCATTTATATTTAATAAAATTACAAACTTAAAAATATAATAAATTCAAATTCCATCAACTATAGTTATAAATTAACAAGAATTAATCTTATAACAAAAGAATTGACAACAATATAAATACCAAAATAATAAAAAAATTATTAAATTTCAAATGCAAAATCATAAATTAATAAATAACAAAATCAAATTATAATATTTAATTATAATTATTTTTTATCTAACTTATACAAAAAAAAATTATTAAAAATTTTCATCTAAAATCCATATATATAATTTCAAAAATTACAAATTTTCAAACTTATATTTTAATAAAATTAATTACAAAATTAAATAAATAAAAATCCACCCACTCACCCTAACCCACCCCATTCAGCACCCACGCATCCCCCTTAGTGCAAACAAGCCCTTCCCCCAAAATTTCCCCCAAAGTAGAAACCCTCGTCCAATCCTTAACTCTTCTTCATGTTTTATTCTTCTCTTTATTTTTCTCTCTGCAACTATCACTCTCTCTCGCGTACCATCGTCAATGTCATTGCCTACAGAATATCTCGATTTCATATCTCTCAAATTATTACAAAGATCAACATTATTTTATAAAAATTTTGTAAAAAAGAAAAAGGTAATTTAACTTTTCTTACCTTCTTTGATTTTGATTGTTAATTCAAAACTTGAGGTTGATTTGAATTTGAGTAATTTTTGGATTGAGTTAGAATTATTGTCAATTGAAGTTTTTTTTTTTTTTTTAATTTGAACCAATGACTAAGAAAATGGGGATAGTGGCAATAACGGTTCATTCGTTATTGCCGCTTTTTTTCGTTACATCATTTTTTAGCGGCTGTTACGCACCGTTTTGAGTGTGATTCAATTTTTCAATAGCATTTTTTTCGATAGTGGTGGCAGATGTAAATTATATATTAGTACTCATAATACTCGAGTTTGATTTGAATAAAATTCGAATTCAACGTGATTATTATTGAACCGAGTTTGAGTTCAAGTAGCTCGAATAGCTTGATTTATTGATTAAGCCAAGTCCGAATATTTTTATATCTGGCTCAAGTAGCTCGTGAATCAAATCAAGTTTTTATATTTTAATATATTTTAATTAATAAAATATTTTGAATTCAAGGTTGAATTCAAGCACAAATAATTGAGTTTTTGTCGAATATTAGAATCGAACTTATTTTTACATGTTAACTGAGCCTAATCAAGCGAGTTCGAATAATTTGATTTTTATTTTGAGTCAAATTCAAATTAAAAAATAGAACTTGATCGAATTTGAGTCGAATTTCGAGTATTGAATTTCGAATTGAATTCAAACTTAATACTGTATTAATTCAAATTCGATTAATTATACCCCTAATCATGACTAGGGGTGTAATCAAGCCGAGTTGAGCCGATATAGTGAGAAGCTCGAGCTCGAGCTTGACTCACAATTCGAGGCTCGATACTCAGCTCGAACTCGATCGAGTTTTATTTTTCAAGCTCGAGCTCGATTCGTGATCGAATTTGAGCTACTCGAGCTCGCTCAATTAAGCTTGATTAATATGTAAAAATAAGTACTCAACAAGAGTTCGATTATGTATGCTCGAACTCGAACTCGGACTCGAAATATTTTATTAATTAAAATAATAAAAATATATTTAAATATAAAAGCTTGATTAAGCTCGTGAGCTACTTGAGTCGGATATAAGAATACTCGAATTCGGCTCGATCGATAAATCAAGCTACTTGAGCTCGAGCTCGACTCGATAATCTTCGATTCGAACCCGAGTAACTTGTGAATACTAATGTATCATTTACATCCTTAATCACGACCCCTTAAAAATTTTCTTATACCATTATAGTAGAATATTTTATCCCACCAAAAATAATATTTGATCCCCTCTTGGCTACTAGATTATGTTTAAGATGACTATGCCATGCAGCTGCCTCTAATTAGAGGTAGTATTGCAGTTTTTTGAAGTAGCTAGCTATTTGCGGAGATTTGTATTCAATCTACGAGATATTATCTATTTTGATCTGAAAATCTCATGATTTTGTCTTATAAAAAATATCTCACAAGTTTGAGTTTAAATTTTTACATATATATCATAACAGAATTTTAAATTATCTTGATATGGGATTGAGATGCCACAATATCAATCCCTTAATTAAATTAAATTAGGGCCATGGTCAAAATTGAATTATACAATACCGAAGAACTCTTTATGTAATTGAATAGGATGCTTGGATTCAAATTGTTAAACCCAAAACTGTACTGGCTTTTCATTTGATCAGAAGATTAAATGGTTTTTATATGATTCCAAATAGATTTATTTTTTTAATAAATGAATGTGATTTTATTCATCTAAAAGCAATACATAGAATTTTATTTAGAGATACAATCATAACTCAAATAGATTTAATTTTGATGTAATGATTACTTTTTTTATGAAATTATATGTATAAATAAAAATTATAAGTATAATGAAATAGCCATTGATATACATCAAGAATTTGTTAGGATTTTCAAGCATGACTGTATTCGATAACAAAATTAATGCTAAATAATTCATACATACAAGAGATAAGAGATGATATATAACGTGGTTAGACCCTAATTATCTACATCAACACACGAGAGAGAAAATTTTACTATAAACATAGATAGAAATTGCAAAAATTACAACACACCCAATAAGCTGACAACAATCTTAATTTTTATGCTCTCTAGTGTTTAAATACATAACATCCTTTATTTCATGTAACCCGATTGTTTTTTTTAAATTCTTTCTTATATCCCTATAAACTTATTTCATATCACAGGGAAATTACATGTCTCTCACACCTTGTAAGACTTATTTTTATTTATTGACATTAATTTATTCACTAAATAAAACTCGCTCACCAAATAATATCTTAATCTCACAAACATCTCAAAAAATTTTCATCAAACTTTTTGAAATTTGAATTAATATTTCCAACAAAATTAATATACATAAAAATTATAAGTCACTAAACAAATCAAAGTACGTATAATTGGTGGAGACTGACAGCTATTATCGAAACAAAATATGGCTTACAAAATGAGCCAACGATTTCTTTTTCTCTCGGAAAGAGACGAATTAAAATAAGTTGGCAGACAACTAATTAATCAGGACGGGCTCCAATGTTTTAGCGAAAAACTTAGATGAAATTTTTTAGATGAAATTCATGAAATTTTTTTTATTAAAAATGACTAAATCAAAATTTAAATTTGATAAATTGAAAGATCTTGTTACATAGATAAAGTGTGCAAAATTTGAAAAAATTTTAATAAATTTTGATATATATTTTTAATAAAAATATTGATAAAAATTTTATTGTTGAATAAATATCGATCAAATTTAAATTACAAATAATATTTTTAATTTTTACATTAAATTCTATTAATTTATCATGAATTTAAAATTTTTATTAAATTATTTCTTTTAAAAAAAAATTTATAAATTTTACTTGAAAGACTTCGTATGAATTTTCTCCTGGTGAGAAGGCTCCAATGCTCTGGGAGCCTTTGGTTCCAAAGCCATATCTGCCCACCGAACAGCTGAAATCAGGACGTAGATCTGGCCTAGTTATAGAAATGATGACGTGAAGTACTTGAACTTTTTGGGCATACAATTAATCTCTGGAACTTAATACATAACAAAACAGGTCCATTGAAGAATTTCTGTTCCAAACACTGGTCACAATATGGACAAACTGGTAGCTTTCCAATCGCTTTCATTGAAACTTTATAATAAAATATGAGCCAATTTCGATAGCGTTAAAAATGTCGACATCTGCATGAAGATATAGAAACCACCCTAGCTATATAATCTTTGCACAGTGAAACTATTTGGAATCGATAATATCGGCGAGTGTCATTAATTCCTAGGTGTCTATCATTGATCATCTCCAAGAACATTGTTGACTGCTTCTTCCATGGAGAAAACACCTAGCTCATCATCAGAGATTCAGCTTCCTCCTGGTTTTAGATTCCACCCTTTAGATGAAGAGCTCATAGTTCATTACTTGAAGAACAAGGTGACTTCGAGTCCTCTTCCAGCTCCCATTATTGCTGAGATAGATTTATACAAGTACAATCCATGGGAGCTTCCAAGTCTGTATTACATAGCACTTTCAATGTCCTTAATTTATATATATGTATATATGTATTTTCCATTTAACTCTATCTGGTTTTCTTGTTTGTGATATAGAGAAAGCTTTGTTTGGAGAAGATGAATGGTACTTTTTCTCTCCAAGAGAGAGGAAGTATCCCAATGGTGCGAGGCCTAATAGAGCAGCAGCTTCGGGGTATTGGAAGGCGACGGGGACAGATAAACCAATTCTAACTTCGCGTGGAACCAAGAGCATTGGAGTGAAGAAAGCTCTGGTATTCTATGAAGGACGTCCTCCTAAAGGAACCAAGACAGAGTGGATCATGCACGAGTATAGACTGCTTGAAACCATGGTTTGGACTCCCAAGCGAAAAGGTTCTATGAGGGTAAGAACGCTAAATTTTTTTATGAAGACGTGATATAAGAATTGTTGATTCCCGATAAGTTGAAATGTAAAAGAAAAAAACACAGAACCCTTTGATTTTCTGAAAGGTGATGCATGGTTTTTCGTTTCTGATGATAAACTTTAGGTTGATGGAAATTAATCATTTCTTTTCTAATGTGTTACAGTTAGACGATTGGGTGCTTTGTCGAGTGAGGCAAAAAAGCAGCATACAAATGAACAGCAGGGAAGACAGAAATATTAACAGTCATGAAACAGATAGCAATCTCCCAAACTTGAATAAGCTATGCCGGCCTTCAAACGCAAACCACAACGTCGAGATGGCCAAAAGCTATCTTTTCAATGACTGCCCCATGTTACCTTACACATATGCATCTCAAGACCTTCCTTGTTTTGGTACAACCTCAAGCATTAGCTTCCAAAGCAGTGACAAATCTTGTATTTCTGTCCAGGAGGTGAATTCTGATAAGAAGAATTTGCAGATTTCGTTTTCATCTCTTCAAAACCTGTTTAACCCTTTGAAAAGAAAGTCCATGGAAGGTGGTAACCAGGCCACAAGTTTTATCCCTCCAAGCAAGAAGTTCATCAGGGAGGATAGAGAGAAAGAGGAAGTAATATCAGTAAGCAATGATTGCAGTGACATGAACTTTTATGGAACAAACCACTCCGATGGCAACAATTTTAGTCCAGATGAATGGAATTCCATCATGCAGTATCAAGAGCTTAATCTCCTTGATTTCACAGAATCTGACTAGATTTCACAGTATGGGAAAGTAGAAATCTGGTGAGTTGTTCAGTGTGTTGAGGTCTTCTGATACACAAAATAGTTTCTAATTACGGCCTAGATAGATTTGGTGATTTATTTCATATTGAATTTGAAACCTCCATGGGTGTTTATTTTTGAAATATTTATATTGTATGAACGTACATAGTAATTATAATTACATTTGGTAAATCAATAAATGGTTTAGTAGCTACACTAGAGCGCAGATTTAAGCTGATCTGTTCATGTGTTCTTCTGAAGTAAATTTAGGGAGCCTTAGCGTTGTCGCTGTAATTTATATTAGCATAAAAATAATGTTTCAGTTCTTAGAAAGTGTAATCATTCAGGAAACGTTCTTCAACCAAATGCTGTAGATGATGTCTGTGGATAGAGCCACGAAATCATGTTTTCTACCTATGACACCCTGATCCTATGTTGGAATGTTCTTAAGATTTACGTTGAGATTTAAGCCTATATCTTGTAAGATACTTTTTATGAAATAAAATCGTGAAAATTTTAAATCATAACGAATAATATTTTGCAGATGGAGTACAAATCTCTGCACTACCAGCTCGTTTCATTGGTACTTTGCCAAATGAACCCTTTTAGTATCGTAATCTCCAAAATTTTCACTTTGAAACTCCAAACGATTCATCTACATGTAATATTGCCCGAGCATTCAGTTAAAGCCCAAAAACTAAAATGCAACATTGGCCCACCGTTATGGGCCCCTAATGAAACCAGCAAGGATTGGACCACAGATCATGCCTTTAAGTTCAGAACTGGTAATGCCATACAAGGCTGATTAGCAAGAAATCATTCTGTAGCAACATCATTGCAACAAGGGATACTCTAGCGTACACAAATGAAAAAGCCGCAAAACCTATAGAGTGATAAATTTGGCTATTCGTATATTTACGTAACATAAAATATTAAAATTTATATATTTTTATTATATTTTATATAAAAATAATATGTTATAATTTATATTAATATAAAAATATAAAATATAATTTTTTAATTTTATTAAATATATATAATTATTATTAAAATTTTAAATTATATTATTTTTATGTATATTTTTCGTATTATATTTATATTTTATAATTATATTATATTTTACATTATTAAATTTGAGAAATAAAAATCCAAAGGGTGGAGTAAATATATAGACTACTTCACTTACATTGTTGCCAATCTTCTCTCGTAATAATTAAAAGACAAAATTGAACTTAAAATAAAATCAAAATTAAACACGAATGAGCGACTAATAAAGTAATAATCAATAACATTTTCCTTTTTAGTTTCTAGAAAAGTTTTTTACAGTTTGAATCGGTAACCTGTTACACTGAGCAAAACAAAACAGCCAAATTTCTTTTTTTTTTCCTTTTTTCTTTTCTTTTATAATTAATAATTTTGGTGCTAATTTTCTCCTTCTCTTATTTATACACAAAGCCAGACAAACGCACCCAATCGCTTTATTTCCTTGTCTCTCTTCCTTCTCCCAAACACAAATATTTTTTTAATCTTTTGTAAGTATAATTCTAATTATTTTCTCTCAGATTTTCATCCAGAAAAAAAAAATCGAGGTACGTTTTCCTTTTCCTTTTTATATTTGTTGATTTTTTTGTTTTGTTAATTTTTTTGAACGGACTTTGATCATGAAAGTTTTGTTTAGCTGTGGTCTAATTATTTTTTATTTGATTAATTTGGCTGTTTTTATGTTTGATCTTGACTGGACATAATAATCTGTAATGATTTCAGCTTGTTTTCTTGTTTATAAGGCTTAGATTCTTTGCTAAAGTTCTGTATTAATTAGAGATGTTCAAAAGAATCGCTGTTAAAATTGGTTTCCGAGTTGTGATCATGGCCATGATCGTCATCTGCATTGGATATCTCGTTGTTGATGGTCGGATTTTGGGACTTGACTTAAAGGATGACCGGTTGTTTCAATCTTCACGTGGTTGTTGTAGCTTTAAAGAAAGAGATTTTGTTGGTGTTATTATGTTTAAACTCTGTTTGTAGAAAGTAATTCAATGTCCCGTTTTGTAGACTTAAACTGAATTTGTCTCTGCATTTTGTTCAGAGAATCGTGATTGAATGGTTCTTAGAACTGATACAAGAGTTCATATTCATTTTTTTCAACGGGAATGCTTTGAAATATGAAGTTGTTACCCAGTATATCAATGGGTATTTTTTTCTGATGTCCTTAATCTGGATCATTGCAAAATTAGGCTTTGTGGTGTATTGTATGCTATATCTTGTGTTACTAATTGCACTCAAATTTCACCTGTTCCCTTGAATGATTTTAGTGATGAGCTTAACGTTTTATTATTATTTTTTTTGTCCATCACATTGATGTTTTCTGTGTTGGTTTGAAGATTTAATTTCTTAAGGAAATAGAAAATGGTTTACATGAACTGCTTCCTTCCTTGGGCTGCTGTAACATGAGAAATTGACTTTCATTCTTTGTTGTGGTTTAGATGCCAGTACATAGTTGAATTACTTGTAGTTTCTAGCATGTCCAATAGCTGTTTGTTGGACAAGATGCTATAATAGATAGGATTAGACCTAGTTTTCTGTTAATTGATTTAGCATCAACTAGGTTTAGATGTTTTCTTTATGCAGGTTAGGGACTCGGTATTTCATTCGTGCCCCACATCTTGAGTTTGCCCTTAAGCATAAACACTAATAAGTAAGCCGGTTTTGGAACAATAGCCCGTCTAAATCTGAAGGTATGAAGTTTTGTTATTCTACTCTCTCTCCTAGCAATTTGTTTTCAAAGTAGTTGTTTAGAAGTTATTCATTGATAATTCTTATAACTGTCAGCTTTTGAGTGAACTGTGTCAATATCTGTCCGGCAATTATTTTTTTATTCCCTTCACTTTCAATCATCCTCTTCCTCAACACGTCTTGCAGCACCTTCATCTTCAGTTATATTTCCTATCTTAATTCCTCAGGCTTTAATCAATGCACTTGCTTAACTGCAAATAATTTTTGATGTATGTTAACCATTCCTTTGAATGAACCATAAATAGGATACTGGAGTTGGTAAATAGCTTGGTTGTGGCCTTTCCTGTTTCTATTTTCTGAATAGCAAATGGTGTTGCAGGAAAGCTTTGGTCGACCGGGCAACTGAAGGAAAGATTTCTGTGTCTTCTTATTAGGATCATGTGCACTCATTTTAGAGTGTTATAAGCCTGCCTTCATACGAAGAGCAAATAAATGGTATTAGAGCTACTACTCCAATTTGCAGAATTCTTAGATCGGGATTCAATTTGACATATGGGTTTCTGTGCTCCACTGACTGGAGATTGCATTGAAAATGTTAAAAAACACTAATGATTATAGTCATTCCATTATCATAAATCTATCATGTTTGACATTCTGTGTTGGCATGCTAGATGCTTGGTGTAGAGTGTCACAGGTGGTTTAGGGAGTGACAAGAAGATTAAGGAATTGAGAATTGTATCTTTTTTCATATCTTGTGGTATGCAGTTCTAAGTATATGTAATGACCTAAGAATCCCTAAGAACCCTGGGGGTATCTCCATTACAGTTCTGATAGTCACCCTATCTACAGTTTCTGCTGAAAGGCTGATTTACAGTGTAGGACATGATGATGGCTTTGCTGAATGTTGAGCTTTGTACTATCAGCCGGACAACCATTGAAAGGTGCTATTTCTGGAGACTTGTTTGGTGGTGCTAATTGATGTCATATGGCCTCTTAAGGTGAAAATTTGGATGCTTAGATGATGACCATAGCCAAGTAGTTGGGATTATCTTTTGCTGCTTATGGTGGATGTCATTAAACCTAAATGGTTTGAAAAAATTTAGGTGTTGAAAACTTGAAATCTTGCTTGTGGAGACTAGATGCCTGTGTGGAGGACAATTATGCTAACAGTATTGGGGCTCCAGGGATTATATAAAGGCCTGATGGTGTCAGGTTCACATGTTTTATTGAGGTGGAGGGAAGTCTTTTGACAGGAGAGCTGAATGATTATAAAGTTCTGGTTAAACTAAATGTGCAGCTGATATGGTCGATCCACTTCTCCATGTCAAAGGGAACCACTGGTGTTGGGTTTTGTGAGATTTTCCTAATTTGTTGGTTAGGCTTTGTTCTTACTGTTACCCACGTCTTCCTGATTAGTATTTTATTTACACTTTCTTGAAGTTTCTGTATTTCTAGGGTAATAGGTTCCTTTTGATTTGTATTACTAAAGCTTCATGGTGAACCATTCCGCGATTGTGAAATATGCTCATAAATTGATGGCAGATTTCTTGTAAGTAACTAAACTTGTGGCAAATTGAGGCTTGCAACTTTAAGTTATTTACACAATATATTTTTTTTTGTTAGTACTCACCTAATCCTCTGACAATGACAGTTTTCAGAAGTACATTGTGAGGCACAATAATGTTCCTAAGAGATACAATTATGTATCCACTTCATTTCTACAAACGTTACATGATAAAAGAAGGTACTGTAGGAATCAACCTAGACCTTTCATATTTAAGACAGATATGCTTTCAGTGGATGGGATCTTACATTAGTGATGGTGACTGTCACCTTCTATATAATTGTATCGTAGCCATTCCTATTTTCTTATTATTTCCTTATTTTTTATTTTTATGTAATTTATTGGTTTTAGATTATACTTTTAATTTCTTTTGGTATAGGTTATTCTTTCAATGATTGTTTTGAGGGTAAAAGTAACGGTAATCACAGCAGACTATGTGCTTACCCACAATTACAGATGACGGAAATTCATGCTCTGCATCATGTACTTGAGCAAATGGTCTAATTACTTAACTTTCCTCTTGTTTAAGGAACAATTTATACACCCACAGGGAATTTGACTATAGTTCCTTATGATGATGAATGATTTCAAAATTTTTGTTTCTCTCCAATTTCTCCTCTTCAATTTCTCTGAGGGTGCTTGCTTTTTCTGCATAACTGTTCCATTTTTATCAACTTTTTCCCTTAAAAGTTTACAGCATATTTTAAATTTGAAATCTTCATTTCTTTGGCGTGGGTTCTATCTCAATGCTTTTGTATTTTTCTAACTTATCTTCATCATAGATAGGTTTGGGTTCCCCTTTTACAGAGTGGAAGTTCAATATGATGGAGGTTACTTCCTACAAATTGATTTCTTTTCTTTACTGAACCAAAAAGAGGAAAGAAGGAAGTTTTATTTTAATCTTGGTTTGCTTACTAATTTCATGACTGGAGTGAAAGGCCTTATTCTTCTGCTGTTACAGTGGCTTTGTGAACTTTATAGCCATGCGTGGTTAAGTGATGACCGTTCATCCCTTACATCTTCTGTGAGTTATAATTCAATTCCAGGTGTATGTCCTGATGAGTAATCCTGCATCTAGTGCTTCCTCTACAAGTCCGAATCTAAGGTACTATTGCGTTGGGGTTATGGGTTACTATTGTCATCCAATGTAAAGTCTGTATTTAATTACGAATCTAGCGTTCTCTATCTTGCCTTCATTTTTTCCTTCTTTGTTTCTTGCCCCAGAATATGAAGGATGCTCTCTTCATTTTTTTTTTTGGGGGGGTGTGGGGGGTAGGGGGTGCAGATAAATGCGAGAGGCAGGACTATGCCTAGCATGCCAGCTTGTAAGAAGACCATAGTTGTGCAACTGGGTATTTAGGGTTGTCAACTTCCTGTATTTGCAAAAGCCTATTGCAAAAAGCTCCCTGAGCGTTGAATGCGTTTGCTGCAGCGACCTTTTTTCCTATTCCTAAAAATCAACTCACATGTGGTTTTGCTGTTCTTTTATGCACAAGTTTGATTTACTGGGCCAAACCCGAAATTTTTCATAGTTGTTAAAATTCTAATTGAGATGCCTTTTTCTGGTTTCAATTTGTACATGTTCATGTATGTGTAGTGGGTGATCTATTGTGTGCTAGGATATATAGAGAGCTTACTTATATATAGTTATATTGTTATTTGATTTTCAAAAGATTGATATTTGTAAGGCAATATGTGTATGCTGGTTCTCTTTTCGATGGTGCTTGTAACCTCATATCTTTTTGGATTTTTGATAGCACAGCAAAACTGTTTTCTCTTTTAGAAGGATTTAGCAGTTCATGCCAGGGGTGCAAAATGAGGGTAGCTTAATATTCAATATCTCTGCGTAGTGGCAACTAATTTATAACACAACCAAAAGATGTAATTCTTGGAGTTGCATTTGTCTGTATTTTGCTGGAGATACATGAGATCCTAAACATGATTATATTTGTGCCAGAATTGTGGATTTCTTGTAGAACATTGTGGAAGGTCTTGATAAGAAATGAAATCCGGTAAAAACAGTTTATGTTGCTTGTAGTAATGACATGGGGACCCTGAATGCATCCATTTTTTTAATTTTTTTATGTTGTTAGACATTAAATATTTTTAATAACTCCTCCATTCTCTTATAAATATTTGTTTTTTTTTTCTTTTTGCAGGTGGACTCTTCTTCCGGAATATAACTTATCTTTAGCTTTTAAGTGACTTGGTTATGGGGCATAGACATGTATTTGGCACATCTCAAATGTTTGAGAGTGAAAATGAGCAGGGCAGGAATCATATGCATACAGAGCAACCGTATGCAAATCTAGGTATTGTTATTTTAATGCCTTCACTTTTACATTTTATTTAGATGACAAATAGATAACGATTTATGGTATGAAAACATGTTTGCAAGGTGGTTTAAGGTTGAACTTTTCATATTCTCCTGCCCAGAAAGTTGGGCCTAGGTTTTGGGTTATGCCTGCTTTTTGCATTATATAGGATTCTCTGTCCAATAGCTCTTGTTCCAATGGCTATTAATGCTGCTTGTTTTGTTCTGCAGTGAGGGCAAGCACTACAGAACATGGTTCCTTCTTCTGTCCTGTAGAAAATATGTCTGTTGACACGGTGCATTTTTCTTCTCATTGGAATCCAGTGCCTAGGTCAAGTGGTTATGCTACCTCAAGCAACAATGTTGAAGCTCCACACTATCAACCTGACACTTCAGGCCCATCTCATGATCTTTTTCTGCATCCATCACCACCTGGAGCATTTGGTGTAGCCCCTGAGAACCACATGCATCATGCATCTTCTTCCAATTATGATATGCAGACTTTCCATGGGATTGAGGGTGGTTTTGTTGATGTCTCAATGGGTGGTGGAAGAGGACCTCATAAACGAAAAAGCCCTGGAGTCCCTTCAGTCTGTGAGAGGGGTGGTTCAAGCAGATATGTTGGTGCTGGATGTTCATCTGATCTTCCTCTATCTTCTGACATTTGGCAAGAGAAACCTAACATAGATCCTCAACAAATGCATTGGGATCATGTTGCCATGCCCCCCAGTTATAGAGGCAATGAACTCTCAATTAGGGGTGAGGATTCTATGAGGAGTGTGAGAAGCCGTCCAGCTCTTGATCTTGAATCCACCCTAGTTAGAACCCATTTATCAAGCAATCCTTCTCACATTTCCTACTCTACAAGCCAACCAGTTGGCCATTCTAGTTCAGTGGATCTCTCAGGCTGGAGCTCTAATGCTTTATCAAGGGAGTGGGGCCATTTGAGAATGTCTCCTAGTCATGGAAGGACTCAAGCTTCAGGTTAGTTTGTTGAACATTTGTGTGTCATGTTTTGAATCTCCCATTATTTCTGAGTCTGTTGCTGGTGAACTGCAGATTCAAGTGTTTTTAATCATGAGACAAATCACTCTCTTGGTAGTAGCAGTGCTACAAATGCTTCCGTAGAGGTTGGGGGACTTCAGCATGATTTTATTTCTGGTAGAAATCCTGTTCTTCCTCAGAGTTTCCATGGCAACTCAGCACAATCTGTAAGGGGTGTTCGTACAAACTATTCTCAGAGATCTAGCCCAACTTTCAGGGCTTCTTCCAGTCGTGTGCGCTTTGGACATGCGGCATCATCAGATGGGGGGATGCAGGTGGTTGCTGAAAGTTATTCCTCCAGACAGCATCAGCCATTGTCGGCTATAACATGGCGCAATAATGAGCGGAATGGGAGGTCAAGGATATCTAATGATAGATATCTATCTCTAGCTGATGATGCAGTTTTACATGATCGATTTTCATCCGAGGTATTTACCACTTATGAAGGAATTAATGTCTTGCATTAGCAATTGAGGTAGAAATACATGTTCCCTAGTAATAGTTTGAAAACCATTTCAACACAGCTTTCAGCATGTCACATTTCTTCTGAGAGTTGTAGTCTTTCATCTTCGTGTCGTTTTTTGACTTTATTGTTTCATTAGTACCCTTCTTTGTTGAATGATAGTGGCCTATTCTGTTGATGACCAGGCCATGATTACTTTTGTTTATTAGTTTTGATGATTCTAACGTAGCCAAATGCTTCTGATCAAGTGCTTTGCTAATGAGATACAGAAAAATTTCTATTCGTATGTCCAGTATATCAGCTTGTAACAAACTTTCCTGATTTAATGAGTCATTAGCTGAATGTTATAATTTGTTTTCACTCTGCAGGGTTTTATGATTGCGGACCGCTCAGCCTTTTATGGATCTAGAAATATGTTTGATCAGCATAGAGATATGAGGTTAGACATAGACAACTTGACTTACGAGGTATGTACATATTTACCTTCTTGATTATGGCATTATTTCATTCTTCTTAGTGTTTTGTTTTAAATGATGACTTGCTTGGGCAGGAACTGCTTGCACTTGGGGAAAGGATTGGGAATGTTAACACAGGCTTGTCTGAAGACTTGATATCTAAGTGCTTGACCAAAACAATTTACTGCTCTTCAGATCATTTCCAGGATGAAAGCTCTTGTGTAATTTGCCTGGTAAGAGTTTTATTCTGTTTGAAACATAAATATCTTGGATTATGTTTATGTGGCTTGGTTCAACATGGAATTATAGAGAACAGTCCGGCACATGTCAATTACAATCCACTACTAGCGGCCGACATGTTTTTGTTTTTTCGTGCAAAAGAGGCCGCAATCTAAGAATAGGAAAAGAAGTTGCAGGTTCTGAAATTCAAATCTTAAACTTGTTGGATGTCACCTTTTAAAGATAATTGTATGAATCAATTGATCTAAATTTCGAATTCAGCCGAAATGCTTGCCACCTCTTTTCTATGATCCCACTTGTCCTAGCTGTAACATGTACATTACTTTGATCTTGTAAAACAGAAAAGTACTAGTTGAATTTCTCACAAATATTTTTAATTCACAGGAAGAGTACAAGGACATGGATAGAGTTGGGGCATTAAAGACTTGTGGTCATGATTACCATGTTCCCTGTATCAAGAAGTGGTTGTCAATGAAGAAAACTTGTCCGATCTGCAAAGCTTCGGCTCTCGCTGACGATATGACGGAGAAATAATGACTTTTTATTGTGGTTTATCATTTATCATTTATCATTCTTGTAAATATATTTAGATACTTGCTCAAACAAAATCAAACATTGTTTTTAAGAAATTTGTAAAAGAAGGGGAAATGTTGTTAGATTAATTTTCAATCCATTTATTGTTGGCTTCCATCTCAATTATTTGGAGCCTTAAAAGTTGCCAGTGTTAGATTAACATTCCATGCATATTTTGGTTTACTCATTTTTCTCGTGAGTTTTTTATTTATCTATTTTTTTTTTATAAAAAAAAGAAAGTCATTCAAAAAGTATTAGAAAAAATGCATTTTTAAGATCATAGGTTGTTTCAATGCATTTTCATTCCCTTTTAATCCATCCTTTTAATGCACTAAACTTACATTCATGGTCTTTGAATTTAGTTGAATAATTTTTTGTATGATAAAAATTTAAAATTAATATGATTTAAAATTTTAATAAAAATTATATACGAATTTAATAAAAAAATATTTTATTTAATATATAAATTATAATATAATAATTTTTATATTTATAAATAATTAAAATAAAACCGACAAAAATACACGAATTATTCATCCAATTGAGGCAAAAAAGTTATACCTTGCAGCTACATCCTAAACAGGAATAAACCTCTGTAGTAGTACACGACATATAATTAGCTATTATAATAATAATAATAATAGTCTTTAATTTATAATTTCTTAAGTTGTTGGGCAATTTCGTAGAAAGTGGAACGAAGGATCGCCACAGAGAAAAGCAGAAAATTCCGGAACCAATTGGGGAGTTGCGTGAGTCAGCCGTCTAGTAACCATTGACCAATTAAAAAACCGACACGGACGAGTGGCTAAGGTTACGCCGACTCATCTGACCACAAACTTTCTCGTTGTTCCATACGTCTCCGCTTGGACCCAGTAGCCCCTCCTCTCCTATATAAACAAAGCGCCTCACCCTCCCTTCAATCCAATCAAAGCCAAATAATAATTCTCTGCTTCATCTCTAAGCAAAATCTTCTCAAATCATAGCCTCGGTTTTTTTTTTCCTAGTCTTCGGAAGATGCAGATCTTTGTGAAAACCCTGACAGGCAAGACCATAACTCTCGAGGTCGAGAGTTCAGACACCATTGACAATGTCAAGGCTAAAATTCAGGACAAGGAAGGGATCCCACCTGACCAGCAACGTCTCATCTTCGCTGGTAAACAGCTCGAAGATGGACGAACCCTTGCCGACTATAACATACAGAAAGAATCCACTCTCCACCTTGTCCTCCGTCTTCGTGGGGGTATGCAAATCTTCGTCAAAACCTTGACAGGCAAAACCGTCACCCTCGAAGTCGAGAGCTCCGACACGATCGACAACGTCAAGGCCAAGATCCAAGACAAAGAAGGCATTCCTCCCGACCAGCAACGTCTCATCTTTGCTGGGAAACAGCTTGAGGACGGTCGTACTTTGGCTGATTATAATATCCAAAAGGAGTCAACTCTTCACCTTGTCCTCAGGCTTCGTGGAGGTATGCAAATCTTTGTCAAAACCTTGACAGGAAAGACTATAACCCTGGAGGTCGAGAGTTCAGACACGATTGACAACGTTAAGGCAAAGATTCAAGACAAGGAAGGGATCCCACCAGACCAACAACGTCTGATCTTCGCTGGAAAGCAGCTTGAGGACGGGAGGACCTTGGCTGATTACAACATTCAAAAGGAATCGACCCTTCACCTTGTTTTGAGGCTTCGTGGAGGAATGCAGATATTTGTCAAGACCTTGACTGGAAAAACGATTACCTTGGAGGTTGAAAGTTCGGATACGATTGACAATGTCAAGGCAAAGATTCAGGACAAGGAAGGTATCCCCCCAGATCAGCAAAGGCTTATCTTTGCTGGAAAGCAATTGGAGGATGGGAGGACTTTAGCTGATTATAACATTCAGAAAGAGTCCACCCTTCACCTCGTTCTTCGTCTCCGTGGTGGGCAGTGATTATTCCAAGAGAAAGAAATTGTCTTTGTCTTAAGTTAAGAATGTCATAATAAGTGCTTATTTTTCGTGTTTTGATGTTGGATTTCTGGATCTTTATCTCCTCTGTCAGATGTTAATCTAAGTACCTCTGGAATAAAAGTTTGTGATCTATTATTATCTGCTTATGTCTTGCCTGTTCTTTCTGGAACAAATGTCCCTGGAATTTCCATTAGAACTCTTTGAATCATGAAAATGGCTAATAAGAAAACAATGTCATTAACAAAAAGAAGCTTGCTTCAAATTTTGGGTTGGCTTCTATGTTATCAATGTGGAAAGTCAATGGAAACTATTGGTATTTGGAAAAAACATTTGATGATGGAGTCTAATCTAAGAATTTGTATTATCATATTCTTGTTCTGTGATCAAATGAGAACTCATAAGGTTCGATGTTAATTTCACATTGGTATGATCTATCAAAATCAATCTTAATAGGTAAACTTTGGTTCAAACCCATTTAGGACATCAAATTTTTTTTTTAATTTCAGTTTATTGAAACTTATGTATGGTTTACCGTAAGAAAATTGAAATATCAATCTATAACCTTCGAAGAACCTACTAAATTTACTGGTGTAGACTTCCATCTTGGCTTTTTTGAAAACATATTGCTTTATAACCCAATTTCCAATGAGAAATTAGATTTTGTATGGTTACCATGGAGGCTGTCATTAATATTCTTTTCGTTTTCCCCTGTTGGGACGAGAACAGAGAGGAAATTAAAAATGTTTATTCGGTCATTTTAATTAATTTTAAATTAAATTATTTAAAATTAAATTAATTAAATTATGTTATTTTAATTTTGTTAATGCATTGAATATGTTAATTTCAAAAATTAAGTTATCAAATTAAATTAAGTCGGTTCGATTAATAATAAAAATATTTAAAATAAATTATATTTTAAACTCCTAATTTTTTTATATTTGAAACAAATTAAATAAAATAATTTAACAAAATATTCAAATATCAAATTATTAAATTAAAAAACTCTAACAATTTCTAAAATTAAATGATTTATTTAATGTATTTTTAGTTTTATATTTGAGTTTTATTATATTTCGATTAAAATTTTGATTAATTTAGTTCAAAAATAAAATTAATAAAAAATATAAAGTTATCTAAAATTATTTTTGTTAATAAATCAAAATTAATTTAATGACCAACTGCTAAATCAATTCGATCAATTAATTATGTTAAAACCGAATTTTCTTGAGAAAACTACAGCAAAAGAAAATAAAGGGTAGTGTTGTAGACATTTTAACGCAGTTTGATCCATGTGGGCTAAAATTAAGTCTATCAAGAACTTTCATGCCCAATCTAGCCCACTATTATTTTGGGCTAACCTAGAAGTTTAGTCAAAAGGTCAAGCCTATTAATGGCTAGATTCAGACCCAACAAGGGAGACAAAAAAGCTCAATCTGTAGCCCACGATTATTTCAGGCTAAAGTAGAACATCTAAAAATTCCCCAAGCATTACGTCTCCCAAAAAACTTAAGGGGCACTCCGAGAATTGAACTCGGGACCTCTCGCACCCTAAGCGAGAATCATACCACTAGACCAAGTGCCCTTATTAAGGGCAAAGGGACTTCATATAAATATAAAATAAAAAAATGGAAACAGTCCAGCAATAAATACAACCAGCTCCATTTCCTTTAAGCTGGTTTTGCTAATCCTTTCCAATTTCTGGAACTCTCTTCGGTCCAAATTCGTTCTGGTGAGGAGCTCAACCGTTGAGTACGCAGCCATGTCAGACGACTTCGATTTCGCCGATAAGGTCTCTCTCTCTCTCTTGATTGCTTGATTTTTTTTTTTAAATAAAAATTTATAATCTCTTAAAGTCTCAATTTGATTGGCTTTTAACCGAGATCCGTGATAAATCAATTGGAATTTAGCCTTGTTATTTAGAGATCTGGTTTTGTTTCCTTATCTTATTGATTGCTTTCGTGGCGATGTAGTGCTTTTTCAATTTTAATTTCCATTTTTTTTTAATTTTGAGAATTTTGCATGCTGATCGTCTCATTTAATTTAGATTTTGCTTTTTTCTTTTCATGTTGATTGTTTTGTCAAATAAACGTTGAGATGTTATTACATTTTTATATTTCACGCGAATTATCAAATAATTCTTTGTTTTTTCTTCCATTTGGCGAAAATCTTTTGTTATAAATACATTCTTTCTGCTGGATCGGACGCTTTTTTTTTCAAATAATCAATTTGGACTTTTTTTAACCATATCCTTTTGAACTTTTTGAAAGACGGACTTGATAATTTATGTATTTATGTCGTGTAAAATATTAAAATTAATACATTCGAGTCATGTTTTATACAAAATTGCGTGCCACAATTCAAGTAAACATAAAAATATGAAATGTGCTTTTTTGGGTTTTATTAAATTTTATTGCTAAAATTTTAAACCGTATTATCTTTGTGTTTTGTATTTGAATGTGATCGAGTCTTGTTTCAAATTTTCAGCTCTATTGAAAGAAAAAAAAAATGCAAGCTGAATTTTTAAGCGGACAACGTGAAAAATCTTCCCTCAGTTCTCTACTCCCAGCGTCTGTCAAAATAGAATGTGGATAACATTTTTTTTCTTGACGATTTCATTATGCCATTTCCATGCCATAACCAATATGCCTGGCCTGCTAACATGAGTGAGGTGTTTCGTGGGATCCATGATGAAGAGGGGACTACTACCATCTCTAATACATTTATGGTGTGGAAGCAATGGATGAATTTATGGGGTCTTGATATAAACCTTGTTTGATCACTTAAAACTTATCGTACAGAATGATAAATCATCTTTTGATGCAATATTTCCATGCGTGTATTATAAAGTTGGTTTATGTTACAGTTGCTTTTACTTGAGCTAAGGGTCCAGTCATAAAACGCACTAGCATTCTCACCGGACTCCCAAATGGAACCTTAGTGAGCATCCTAAAGCGTATAAATTTAATCTAATAACCACTTTGAAAAATCAGTAACTTGTGTGTAGTAGGACTAAGTTTTTAAAATAAACATATGCTATTATGAATTGTCCTTTAATAACGAAAACAACTTTTGCTCTTTGCTCTCTCTGGCCTTGTGAAGTTAACATGTTGAAGACAAATATTGAGCAGCAAGTTGCGTTTTGTACATTATATGATGTGTACTTACCGGGTAAAAATTTTGTTTTCACTTATGCTATAGGGAAACAAGATTATTAATGAAACTGAAGCCAAAGGGTTCAACCCTGGATTGATAGTGCTGCTGTTTGTTGTTGGGCTGCTACTGGTATTCCTTGCAGGGAACTGTGTACTTTACTCTTATGCCCAGAAGACTCTTCCTCCTAGAAAAAAGAAGCCAGTATCCAAGAAGAAGATGAAGAGGGAGAGGCTCAAGCAAGGAGTCTCTGCACCAGGCGAGTAGGACTTTTGAGGCATTGTCTCCTCTGTTCTCCGTGTTCAAACTGTATGTTCACAATTTTCTTTGTGTCCGGAGAGTTGCCTCGATTGAATTTTAGCATCTTAATTAGAAGTTAACCTTGTATTTGGGTAGACTAGGAAGTGAAATACAGTTTTTTGTTCATCAGATGCAGTCCACAGTTTACTTATCTCATTTCTTTTTTGCTTTCCTATTATTCTGCATGGTTTAGTACTCATTTATTTGCTTCCACAACCCATCTCAAGTATTTACAGGATCAGAAGCAACAGAAATAATGTCGACATAGGTCTAACACATTGTTTTAAACCACTTTATAAATGCCAATTTTGATGCATGCCATTAACATTTGTAAATGTCTATTTTTGAGGCATGCATAACAAATATGTCTGTCTTTTTCTCTTCATGATTCCATCCATAAATTATAAATTTCCCCGTATGGGATTATTAAATCAAACTAACTACTCAATTCTTTCGTAAAAAGAAAGGGAAATAACAAAAAAACAAAATAATAACAAGGTGCATAACTTTAAACAAGAAATCATATAGTTAAATGGATGTCGAAAGGAGACAATCCAACCAACTTCTTTTGATAAAACATAAAGTGTAACATGTAATACATTATACAAAAACAATAGGGGGAAACCATTGTAATCCTCAATGATTTGGTCCGACCAAGCCAAGCAATCGATCTCTGATGGTTGTTTAGGCGATATAGGTAGAACTTTTTAACATTATTTTAGCAACATGACATCACATTGATAAAACTAGGGACAAGCCAGCTACTAGAATTTCTTTCATTAGAAGGCAAGACATGGGCAGCATGCACTTAGGCCCCACGGCCCATGGTCTGCTCCTCAGGGGGGATCATGACCAAGACAGGCTGAGCATTGAACCCCGGATGAGGCAACCTTCGACGAAGCTCGCGGCCTTCCTGGCAAAGAGCACATGCATGACAGAAAAAATGTGTCGCAAAGTCACAGACTGTCTCACACCGTTCACGTTGCACGTCATCTTCCATGCAGCTGCCACAGCATCCACATGACCTATTAATTGCCTCACAGGTGCCCTGTTCATCCAAAGAAAACCACAAAACTAAATCTCGGAACATAGTTCATATTGTTCCTGGATTATACGCATAAAACTCCTAGTTGTCCCTCCACACGAAAAACACAAACAATGTGTATGAAAATCAGGTTACGACAGAACATTCGACTTCCCCACCACCAACACAACCTCAGGATGGTAGAAATTTCCAAAACCAAATCAAAAAAGGATAGATAGAGGGACATTGAGCTTATGTCCTGTACAGATACCGAACAGAATAATAAACTGAAACCACATATTAGAATTTCCGAAACACCAAATGCAAACCCATACTATGCTTAATGAGCCGCTTAAAATGATGTCAATAACCTGACAAAGGCAAAGTTAAGGAAGAAGAAAGATCAGATTTACTTGCCTCCAGATTAAACTTCCGCCGAATGGCAACCCGGCTAGGGAATGAAAACGATGGTGCCAAAGTATTCCAGCCGAAATAGGAATTTCCAATCAGGTAAAGAACAGCGTAAGGCACGCAGTGACTTGCAAAGGTACCGGGAGCAGATCCAAGCCTTTCAACATTGCTTCCATACAGCACACAAGGTGCCATGCTTCCAAGTAGACCTGGCCAAAATATAATAATTAAAAATCCGGAGCAAATAAAAGCATACAAAACATTGTATAAAGATACCATAAAAATTGTATAAACTGATAACCACTAACCAAAAATTAATTGTTCTAGGAATTAAAAACAATAAAGAAGATTACAGTCACAACCCATCTTTTTAACCGTTGCAAAACATACAAAAAACATGATTGATCTTATGATTTTCCTTTTCTTCCATTCTTTTTCCCTTTTAAATTCCATGTTCTCTACAATCAAGGCCAAATTTTCACAAAAAAACAGAATCACAGCTTTGAGTTTATAAAGTATGTCAATCATTATGGAGCAGTGGCAAAAAGCATAGAGTTTCTTACAAACTTCAATGTCGCTGCTGCAAAACTCATCGTTACGACCAAGACAAGCAAGGAGGGAGGAATCCCACTGGGACCGACCCATGGGTTCTCCGACAACACCCCCCTGGTCCAACGGAAGCCCATCGGCGGTCCACCCAAACCCAGTCCCGGTACAAACTTCCGGCGAAGCTGCCACCTCGGGGGTCGTCTCCCTTGACGTTTTACCATCTAGTTTCTTCTTCTCATCTTCCTCAACAACTTGTTTGCTCAAAAGAGGGCTCGATTCCTCTCCGGCGTCGTTGTTGCTACCATCTTTGTTCGCCATTTTTTGTGGGATTTTTTCTTTCGATTTTATTTTGGGAGAGAGAGATCTAAAATTTAAAAAGCCGTCAGAAAATGTTAAAATTAGATTAGGATCTAAAAATTGAAATGGAAGACAAAAAAAAGAGATAAAAAAAGAGTTCGATATTTTTGATCTTTGCCTTTCGGGGTGTCAGAAACAAAGCGCGTTAAATTATTTATTTGCTGTCTTAATACGGAGTTTCGCTCTGTCCGTAAATAATTTGTCTTTATCATGTCTGGAGCCCAAATGCAGCCCAACGTACAAGGTTGCTTAACTTATTGTCGGCCACCTCAAAGTTGGTTGTCAATAATTGTCAAAACTATTTATTTTTAGTACCAAATGCTGTTTTTTTTCTGGTTATAAATACAAGTATTTGTTATGTTAACAGATTATCTTTAAAAATTTAAGATTTAATTCAATTTATGTGATAATTTTAAAAATTATATCTAATTTGAATTTAAATTTTAATATTTATAATTTTTTTTAATTTTTAGATTGTTATTTAAAAAAATGAAATAGCAAAACAAAGGGATACGAATATATCAATTATAAATAATCAGGTTTACTCAAATTCTTGACACGGTAAAGGATAATTAGATCGATTGGTAACGAAATTTTTTTTTTGTTGTTGTTTGAGTTCAAATCCATTAAGAGATTAAAAAAGATATTTACTATATTAGATATAAATAAATCTATTTAGATTAATTCAAAGAGAGATATATAAAGAAAGAATATATCTATCACGTTTCGAGATTAAAATATAACACGATCATATTATCTTGAAATAAATCTCAAAATAATACGAAGTCTTTTTTTTAATCATTATAGTTTGTTAAATAAAATCTATATCTTTAATTCAATTAATGATAATGATGGTTTGTGATGATTTTAAATATTGATTCATGATTTGTATATAAAAATATATCATGCATTCAACTTACGAGATATTATCCGTTTTAACTCGAAAATCTCACGATTTTATCATATAAAAAGTATCTTACAAATTTGAGATTAAGTCTTTATATATATATCATTTTTTATTCACACATCCTTTAGATATAAGATTGAGGGTGTTATAATCTCTAAACCTTTAATGTTTGATGTCTTTGTCAAGCTTAATCTATCCATAGAACCAATATTACATCATACCATCATTTAACACTTAATAACTTTTACGATCCCACCGTGTAACATTTAGTGTGATTTTCAAAGTTATTGATTGATGATCATTCTGATATCATTTATGAGATAAAATCATGAAACTCTCGGATCAAAATAAATAATATCTCACAAATTGAGTATGAATATTCGTAAAATTTAAAAACCCTTTACTGTTAAAAAAAAAAAAAAAACTCTAGACATATTAGGGAGGATGCTAGTTTTTAAAGCGTCCCAAATTTTTTTTTTTGTTTTGTAAGTCAATTTTGTTATGAATACTCTCAAAATTTTTTATTTTTTTGTTAAATGATTATTTAATTATATATATTAAAAATGATATATGTGATAATATTATCAATTTTGCAATTATCTCTTTTTTTTTTTAAATTTAAAAACTTGTAGTGAATAATTATAATAATATAACTATAATAATATAATACTATACTATTTTAAATTTATGTTTATAAATTTTTTTATACATTATAAGCTAATAGTCTCAAAAAAAATCTTTGAATCCTTAACATTTCCACCTATAAAATGACACCACCCAAATTTACAAGTTAAGGCTGACGATACAATTTTAAAAGATAAACAAAGACAGAAAAACTGCCATTCAAAACTAACATTTCTCAAATTTCACATATGATCTTCATATCCAGAAGAGAAGAAACTGGTTAATTATAGCTATAAACTACTATAAAATTAAACAAAAAATCAACAATCAAATAGGGGTTCCAAAACTTTCTTAATTCACCCATGAATGTTATTAGCCTGCAAAACAGAAACAAAAACAAATATTGAAAATGAAAGGAAAATGCTATCATCCAACAAATATTGAAAATGAAAAGCTGGTTCATGAGATACTTCAAAGAGAAAGAGGGGATGATTGTAAACTGGTTCCAGTTTGTTATCTCTTCAAGAATACATGCCCATATGATTTCCTTGAATGAGTGAATGGAAACCTTTGGGTCCAATGTCAAACAGCTATTCTAATTTTTGGCCATGGTTTGATCTCTGTATCATACATAACCTTGTACTTCAGCTGCTAACCCAGAAGAAAAGTTATCATTCTGTGCTATGAATACTGGCCAAGGTTTCAGCTCTACGTATACTTGAACAGGAAAACAACTGCTGGACTGACCTTAGGTACCAAACAAAATCTTAGGGCAAGATACTGCAATGTTGGATCATAATTTGATTCTGAACTCTGCATCTGTTGGTTGGAAAGGTGATTAAAATCTGATGTATCAGACACCAAAAAATCTGGCTGAGTCAGGAATTTGGGGCAATAATTTTCCCTGGCAGCATAATATTTGGCATAATCTTAATGTATATAAATCATGGTATGCACAAACTAAGGATGCCGATGTTTTTGTAAGGCTTCCATTGAAAATTTCAAGCATCTTCTATCACTATTCATTATCCAGAAGTAAATAATATCCTGCACGAAGATCAATGGCTTGGAATTTTATGTTCCATCCATGGCAGTTTATGAAGAGACTTCCTTTCAGGTCTGGGCATTCAGGTATTGATAAAGTTCTATTACTAGTACTTTTACAAGGGAAGGTCTAGCTGTAAAACTGAGATGAAATACTCAACAAATAACAATCCAAGCTTAACTAAAGAGCCTTACTTTAATTAGAACTTATAATTTTATACTAAACATGAAAACAATATTAAAAAAAATACATACAATTTGACAAATCGGCGTTTGATATGTCGACATAATTTTGACATAATAATTTTATATTTTACATGTATTTGATAAAAACAAATACAATACAAATACATATATACATTTATTCAAATAATTGATTCTAAGCTTAGGCATTGAAGAAAGAATACAAATAACAGCAAATTTCTAGGCCCTTAAAAGCCATAGATGTGACAAATGAAAGAAATTGCAAAAGAGGGATCCAGGGTTTGCCTCTCCATTTTCCATTTTTTTGGTTTAGACAGTTTGTTGTGTTGATACATATGTCCAAACCTAGGTTTCAAATCAGATTGCAATGGCATCTTAACCCAATCTTTTCCCAGTTAAGATACAAACAAACAGATTTTTTTTTTTTTTTGAGAATTAGAAAATTTCCATCCCCAAGTTTCTTATCCAATCTGAAACAAATGTATGATCCCATTTTTGCTTCCATTAGTATGTTTTCCAACTTGCCAATTGCCATGCAACTTTCTCACAAATAAACATGATAATTCTCCCTTGCCTAAGTTTTCCAATTACAGTAACAGATCTTAACAGCATCATCAATATTAAAAAAAAAATCCTTAAACTAAAAATTGATAGGGGATTGAGACATTCCATTTAATAATATGTTTTCTTTATCATTGAAAAATTTCAAACAAATCATTTTTTTTATAAAAAAAATTACAGTGTGAGGGAAAAAAAATGATTTATAGGTGATTGAAATTTAAATTCATATATTTTAAATATTATTTTTTAAAAATAATTATATATACCAATTTAATTAAGAGAAAAGACATAAAATAATGAAAATAGGGGGTTCATAATACTGCATAAGCTTTGTACCAAATATAAAAGCTGGTCAGAGCATCCAAAGATGCAGAAAAGTAATCAAAGTGCCATAAAACCCCCCAGAACAGCCCTGGAACCAAAAGCAGATAACACTCTGCTCTCTCAAAGGACTATAGCTCATGAGGGGTTTCAGAAATTTAAAAAAAAATCAAAACACAAACAAAATTTATCATTGATTTCATTTTCCATGTTGATATAACAAAGTCATTTAAGTAAAAAAAAAAAAAACTCCAGCTTTCTTCCTAAAATAACCAAAAATATTCATAAAATTAATGAAAAAAAGAAAGTGGAAGAAAATTAAATGAATCACGTGAAACCCAACCTTCTGTTCTTCCAGAAACTCAGCTCAGGATCGAGTCTTTCAGCTGTTCTCGCCGGTTCTGATTTACATCTTGTGAGAATAAGAGGCCGTACCTTCTCAAATTGCTCTGTTTTCAACTCTTCATTGTTTTCAGATTTTTCTTTTTTTTCCTCTTCTAATTCCTTGGAAAAACCCTGCTTTTCTTCAGTTTCCGAATCCATTTGGGGTCCCTCATCCGAATTTCTACAAATGGACTCTTTTTCCGAAGTTGGATCCCCTTCTTCATTCAATCCTCTGTCTTCTAGCTCTATTTCCTCTGTTTCTTCGTTTGTTTCTCGGTTAAATAATGGTGACCCCCAAAATCTACAAGCTAAAGAAGAAGATCTGTACGGAGCAGATCGACAACGTGTTAAAATCAAAGCATTTTGGGGTGGTGATGGACAGGAAGAAGATACAAAAATCTTAGCTTCCTTTTCTTCTTCTTCTTCATTTTCTTTCGTAGAATCTTCAATTTTGTTCCCAAATTTCGATGAATCTTCTCTAATTTTGGGTTTTCTACAAGACCCCATATGGAAAATCGCCCACCATTGCTTCCAAGAGGGTCTAAAAAAAGGCTTGGCAACGACTTTCCCAGGGAAATGATGGCAAAACAGAGCATTTCTCACCCACTTACAGCAGCTGTGGCGACGGGTAGAAGCTCCGGGCCCACCGGGTTTTGAACCCGTTTGTTTGGAGCGTTTGACATGAACCTGACCCATGCAAGTGACTTCAGGCGAAGAAGGCTCTTGGGTTTCAATGGAGGTGTTCTTTTTTCTTACAAACATTGGGCTTGAACGGAACCTTCCCCTGCTTCTGCTCCCAACATTGCTTCTCAAAAACCCCATCAATGGTGGTGGATACTTCTCAGTCCGACCCGGACTCGATATGGGCTTGGATGATAGCTTCATTTCTTTCTCTTTGAATATTGCGAAGATTTCTTCTTTCTTGTAGAGTCTCTATCCACACGAGTTTGTGTGTGTGGCTTTTGAGTTTGGAGATTGAAAAGATTTTTACTTTGGTTATCTGTCTTTCTCTAAAAGCATGTGGATTTTTGGCGTGTGAGAGAGGACTCTGGCGATGGCTGTCTGTTGTTCTGGTAAGAAACTGAAGAAGATACACTGGTCACCTTCCTGCTTTGTTTTCTCTTTACTTTGGCTCTCTTCTGTTTTTGTTTTTTAAGACCTTTTCAAAATCTATTTGCACGGACGGGTGAATCAACTTTGTATATATTTTTTTCAATTTCTCTTTTGAGGTTGTAGGGTTCTGTTACCGCTTGCCACTTGCCACTTGCCACTTGCCACTTGCCACTTGCCGTCAGGTCAGTTATTATTTTACTGAAGAAAAAACCAGTAGGTGAACAACAGCTGCATATAAAAGTGCAGTTAATTTGGTGCAGTGATAACCGTTGGATCTGGGTTCAGTGTGGTAACACATCTAGGCTGTTGTAACCATTCATGATTGGATGGTGATTGATGCATCTTTTGTAAGGGAAACATCATTTCCAAACAAGCTGATCCTTTGGCTGACATTTCATTGGCTTTTTCAACTAGAAATGATGAAAGAAAGGAAATTGGAAGTTGGAACCATCCTTTGAGTAATTTACACTTATATTTGTCAATCGTGGAAAGCTCTTGGAAATCATGGGAACTTGCATTTGTAAACCGTCGGCCTTAAGTGTTCTTTTGTCTACCCTTTAATGGTGCCTGATATTGTGAAAGGGTTCCATCATTTAAGTAAAAAAAGAAGCCTCAAATTGCAGTTTTCCGGTGAAGAACTGGTAAAGAGGTCATCTCCATTGTCAAAGGATGGGAAAGGCAATCTTTCCACAAGCAACCACCACCGCACTCTAAATTTCTCTACCATTACGCGCTTCCAACATTACCCTTCAGTGCACTTCAATCATCCTTAAAGTTTGTGAAGGAGTGATTCGTAATTTATGGACATGTGTAATTAACTTTGTCTCCAACAACAAAACAAAAAGTCAACTATGATCTCAGGTTTCCTCTCTGGCACTCAAGAAAGAGCTTGACTAACAAGCAGGCAAACCAGCTAAGTCAATTAGGAATCACTTGGTGAAGAGAGTTCAGCTCCTGACACTAGGCATAAAAAACATAAAGATGTCCCAATAAAATAATCAGACAGGGACCAGAATGCAATAAACAGACTACCATTTCTGGGTTTCTGATACTACAGTATTATAATATTGTAAGGGTCCAGGAGATACACAGGGAATATGCATACTAGATTTTTGAATGGTGTGAGCTACCCAATTTGCACCTCTGCAGAATCCAACGCTTACTCTATTGGTTGATGCAAATAGGCTGACATCCAAAAAATTTAGAGTTCGAATCTTAACACCTACAATCTTTTTTTCAATTCTCAAACTGCAGCTCCTTTTATAAAAAGGTAAAAAAAGCACCTCTGCAGTTGAAAACTAAGATGAAGAAATATCAAATATGACATGATATACTTTCTATATTAAAGAAACAGCTCTGTGGTCAGCATGAATTAAATACTATTTCTTATGCCTTGAACAATGAACGATGCTGAAGACATTTTCCAGGGGCCTCATGACATTTCAAGATAACAGTTAAAAATCTCCAATCAAACTCAGATGAAGCATCCAATCACTATACTTAATCTCATTTGTTCTTGCATCTCATAACCTGTGATAAAAAGAAGTGAGCTCAATTTATATCATGTGTCATGCAGATTATGTAAAGTTAAGATTGGCACATCACTTTTCCTCAGTGTCAAACTTTTTCATGTAATTGCTAGTACTTCCTCAGATTATGGCACTAGAATTAACATTGCACAATTTCATCAAAGACACGCGTACTGATAAAAAAAATAATGAATTTTTTGCCTCAGTAAAATGAGTAGAAAGCTAACCAACATCATGAGCACCACTCTCTGTTATTTTGAAACATCCATAACAATGGGCTAGGGCCTTTCTCTCACCACATTCCAGTCATTTGGATACCAGGAAACTGCCACATCAGGAAACCGCGCTCTGGATTAGGCATCATGGCAAGATGTCGGCCATCAGGAGAACAAATTGCTGACACTCCTAATTGAGAACCATTCAAATTGAAGGGGTAAGCCTCTGTTGGATTTCCATCAAACTCACAATATCTTAATGAAGCCAAATCGGAATGCAGCACACGATCCAGAACACCATCATCAGGGAAAGATGCTCTTCCCTCACCATGGGCAGCCCATACACCTAATGTACTGCCTTCCATTTCTTTGAACATCATAACAGGAGAGTCCTTTATAGTCGCACTTGTGAAGCGGCATTCAAATCGTCCAGACTCATTGTGAACAAACATTCGCTGTGATGGGTCCCCACCAGCACCAAAAACACCCCCAACTTGGGGGCCTGGAACCTAACCTAGCAAAGCCATTAACTGACATTCATTGCAAACACCAAGACTGAAAGTAGCAGGGCGCTTGTAGAACTCCTGAAATTGACTGAGTATGGATGCAGCCCAACCTTTCGCAGAATCAAGCACATCAGCATAATTAAAACTTCCAACAAATGCAATTCCACCGAATTCATGCAAAGAAATAGCACCATTAAGAAGGTCTGACATTGTAACATTCCAAGCCTCAAAACCAGTAGCATAAAATACTGCCAACATTTCTCTATCTCCACTACTCCCTTCCTCACGAATGACAGCTACTTTCGATTTTAAAGTTGCAGTCATGTATTTCTCATCAGTGAAGGAAGGAGTGAAAGACAATGCCCAAGAAGGCTCATGCCTAAACTTCAAACCTTCTTTCTCTATCTCCACACAAGAAGCCAGTCTTTGGAACTTTCCAAGCTGGAAACCTGTGGCCTCCCACATGTCTCTCAGGAGAGAAGTTTTCTCGTTTAAATGAGTAATTCCATCAACCTTGAGCTCTATCATGGGTGAGGCAGTTACTGACGAGAATCAAGGGTTCTCATTCCAAAAGTTCTTGTCAAACCCCGAATCAAGGGTTCCCCAAATTTGTTACCATAGTCTGACGCACCATTGCTAGCCTCAATCAGTATTTCCGAAGGAGAAGCCAAATTTGATGGATATCACACGTGAAAGAAGGGTCTTCCTATGGAGTATATAATCCCTCCATATTAAGATTCCCAGTTGTGTAACCAGCTATGGCTGCAACAACAAAAGATCCCTTACCAGTGGCATGTGTATCCCTAATGCGACCACCTGCACCTGTCTCTGCATCAGGGTAGGGAGCCACTGCACATGGAAAGTTATGCGTTTCAGCAGCAAAGAAGACATCAATTAAAACACGAAATTAATACAAACTAAATACATAAATGATCATATCAAGTTAAAATATTGGAAATGGTCACGTAACGAAAAATTAAGAAAATATGGGAGGGCAGTAGTTTGACTAGCCTAGAGTGCCTCGTGTTATTTTGCAAAAGTTCATAGGGTATTATAGGGATTTCACCCGGAAATTTAAGTCCAGTTAGGGCATCTAGTCTAACGTGGAAGGAAGGAGAAAATTTCGAAAAACCTTTAAAGGCTGCTGTGAGATGTCGCACGTCAGCCGTTGGACTAGCTTTAATCCAACGGCTAAGAAAGAAACCCTAGTTAAACCAAAGCTAAGAGAGTGGCTACTTAAGCTAAAAGCAGGCAACGTTCTCGCCCTCTTTCCCTCGCTCTCTACGCACTCTTCAGCTGTGACGAAGAGAGCTTTTAGTCAATTGAATCTCAAAGAGTCCTTATTTTAGCCCACAGGTACAAATCAATTTCTCAATTCTATTTTTTTAAAAAAATTTTTTTGCTTTGGGTTGAAGGAAAATCTGATCTGATTAGTTGGTAACTGAAATATTAATTCTATTTTTTATATAATTTGTTTATAGTTAATGTAAACTGATTTTTATTATTTTCCTTGATTTGTGTCTTTTTAAATGATTCTTATCTTTTTGGTAAAAAAATGATTCTGATCTGATTCGTTTTGTTTGCATGATTCTTTTCTGTTAAGTTTCGGATCTGATTCTTTTTTTGTTTTGATCGATGTTTTTTTTTATATTTTATGCATTTATTTTCGTTTAAAATTTTTTGATTTTAAAATTCTAAAATATATTTTTAGAGAAAATAATTCTTGTGATAATCGATTTATCGAAGCAAATGTAGCCTAAAGGAAATATTTAAGCTAAAATAATCAAAATGGTGAACGATAATTTTTTTAAGGTTTATTTGTTTTGAATTGAAAAGTATATGTTCAGATCCAGTGGCTGTAGTTCAGTGGAAAGAACTCCATATCTATGGAGGACCTGGGCTCGAATCCCAGCGGCCACTCTTTATCAATGTGGAATCTGTTGAATATTTAGTTTTTGGATTTTTTTTAAAGTTGAATTATTCTTTATAAATCTGTTTTTTAAACTTGGATGTCTGATTTGTTTTTTCTTATTCCAAACATAGGAATTTTATTCTGTGTTTTTTTATGTGGAATTATGTTTGTGTTTTGATTTTGAATGTTTGTATGTGATTTGTGTTATGAATATGTTTCTAGTTGATTTTCAGCTTCTTTCCCGAGTTTTATAATGGGTAAGGAGAAGGTTCACATCAACATTGTGGTCATTGGCCATGTCGACTCTGGGAAGTCGACCACCACTGGTCATTTGATCTATAAGCTTGGCGGTATTGATAAGCGTGTGATTGAGAGGTTCGAGAAGGAGGCTGCTGAGATGAACAAAAGGTCGTTCAAGTATGCCTGGGTGCTTGACAAGCTTAAGGCTGAGCGTGAACGTGGTATTACTATTGATATTGCCCTGTGGAAGTTTGAGACCACCAAATACTACTGCACTGTCATTGATGCCCCAGGACACCGTGACTTTATCAAGAACATGATTACTGGTACCTCACAGGCTGACTGTGCTGTTCTCATCATTGACTCAACCACTGGTGGTTTTGAAGCTGGTATCTCTAAGGATGGTCAGACCCGTGAGCATGCTTTGCTTGCGTTTACCCTTGGTGTCAAGCAGATGATTTGCTGCTGCAACAAGGTGAGGTTTAGAACTTGTTCTTGCTTATTATAATATTGTATTGATTTCCCTTTCTCAATAATTTTGGTGCTTAAAACTTGATTTTGTGACTGAACTTGTTTTCGTTATCATTTGGTATAGATGGACGCCACAACACCAAAGTACTCCAAGGCAAGGTATGATGAAATTGTTAAGGAAGTGTCTTCTTATCTTAAGAAAGTTGGTTACAACCCTGAGAAGATCCCGTTTGTCCCAATCTCTGGTTTTGAGGGTGATAACATGATTGAGAGGTCTACCAACCTTGACTGGTACAAGGGTCCCACTCTCCTTGAGGCTCTTGACCAGATCAACGAGCCCAAGAGGCCCTCAGACAAGCCACTCCGTCTCCCACTTCAGGATGTTTACAAGATTGGTGGCATTGGAACTGTACCTGTTGGTCGTGTTGAGACTGGTGTCCTTAAGCCTGGCATGGTTGTGACTTTTGGTCCCTCTGGTCTGACCACTGAAGTTAAGTCTGTTGAGATGCACCATGAAGCCCTCCAAGAGGCTCTCCCTGGTGACAATGTTGGGTTCAATGTTAAGAACGTTGCTGTTAAGGATCTCAAGCGTGGTTTTGTTGCTTCAAACTCTAAGGATGATCCTGCCAAGGAGGCTGCCAGCTTCACCTCTCAGGTCATCATCATGAACCACCCTGGTCAGATTGGAAATGGATACGCCCCAGTCCTTGACTGCCATACATCCCACATTGCTGTCAAATTTGCTCAACTGTTGACCAAGATTGACAGACGATCTGGCAAGGAGCTTGAGAAGGAGCCTAAGTTCTTGAAGAATGGTGATGCAGGGATGGTGAAGATGGTTCCAACCAAGCCCATGGTTGTGGAGACTTTCTCAGAGTACCCACCACTTGGACGTTTTGCTGTCAGGGACATGCGCCAGACTGTCGCTGTTGGTGTCATCAAGAATGTTGAGAAGAAGGACCCATCTGGTGCCAAGGTCACCAAGTCGGCTGCCAAGAAGAAATGAGATTGCATTTGAGAGATAATCATCACTGCTAGGACAGTTTACTTAATTTTGGTCTTATTTTTATTTATATGGCAGTTTTATGGACCAATTTTAATATCCTATCTTTCTGTGTCTTGTTTTTGTTGAGACTTTTATCAAGTTGTCGAGGTCTTGTTTACTTTTTCTATGTCAATTGTCGTTGAATGCCTTCAAACAATTATAGTTTGATATTTAAGTTTTGATGTCAATAAGTCTCAATCGATTGCTGCTTTAGCCTTGAACTTGGTGTTGATGCTTCATTCGTCAATATGGGTGGTTCTTTCTGGTTGATGAATGCCTTTTGGAGTGAAAAACCATACGGAACTCGAGTGGCAAAATCAGGAGGAAAAGCGAACGCCTAGAGCTCACTCTTACAGCAGGACGGAGTTCCTGAGTCTACTGCCTCATAGTCCTCTAGAAAACCAAAAACGGTGATTTCATCACCATCAATCTGTCAATATCTCTGGTGTGGCAACAATTAATTAATAATTTTCATTAAGAAAAGGCATCCTTGGGTTTCAGCTTCATACCCTTTCTTCATTTCTTTTCTTTGTTTTTTTTTTCTCCGACCTTGGTTGAGGAATATCGGCCCAACCTAAATGTGAAATCTGAAATTTATATGCAATTTCATGACTGCAATACGAAACTCTTGTCCCAATCAAGTTTTGACTTAGCACGCTCTCAACTGGCAATTCCGTATTGCTAACATTTTGTTTCTTGAAATTCCCTGAAGTTTTTCTCTTATATATATATATATATATATATATATATTTCAATAACATGATTAAAAAATTCAAGCATGTAAGTTTTGAGTATCCATGCCGCTATACTCGATCCTGCAGAACATTCTGCAACTACCTGTTTATGAGATCATAGCTTTTCTCAGCCAGGAAATATATATAAAAAAAGGGCACATTTGGTCAACTCCAGTAATTACAAAAATGAATTCCTAACATCAGGGAAAATATGGTATAAATTGTTTTGCAAAAAATATTTGGTTGATGGGTTCCATCTGAACAACCATTTGGTGCAGATAGCAACTCAATCTTTCGTATATGTTGCTTTCTCCATGTTTCTTTTGCTTCAAGGGACAACTGGGTGAAGCAATGCCACGCCAATTGAACAATCCCAAAACATCAGTACCATTCCTATAACCTCCAAAACATTCAAATTATAAAATGAAACCTGATTTATTATATATAGCCTTCTTAATCCCCTTCTACTCTGACACAACAACACTTTTCAATTGATTCAGTGGAGGTGACCAAATTTTCCACCTTAAAATTCCATTTCCACTGATCGGTTCATAAGTTAGCAAAGATGGGGTCTGTGGAGAGATCAAAGAAGAAAGTCCAGTTATGGAAAAAAGCTATTGTTCACTTCTCTTTATGTTTTGTCATGGGGTTTTTCACAGGTTTTGCTCCAACAGGTAAAGATTCAATTTTTTCTAGCCGTGTTGTTGCTACAGAGAATAAATCATAGATTTCGCCGCAGCCTGTCCAAACGTTGAACCAATCAGCAACAGCAGTACATAGCAGTAATGTTAACAGAAGTTTGAGAGCAGAAACTCCAGTGCCAGTTCCAGCAAAGTCTAAGGAACTAGAAAGTCCAAAACAAGTGGATGGTCTTGAAGTCAAGTTTCCACCTAGAAGACTCAAAATTATTGTTACACCAGCAAGCACGAAAGATCAGTTTCAAGGGGCGTTCTTGAGGAGGCTAGCAAATACTATAAGGCTGGTTCCTCAGCCATTGTTGTGGATAGTCGTGGAAGGGCAATCGGATTCGAATGAGGTATCCGAAATACTTAGGAAACCGGGTATTATGTATAGGCATTTGGTGTTTAAAGAGAATTTTACAGACCCTGGAGCAGAACTAAATCATCAACGGAATGTTGCACTGAAGCACATTGAGCACCACAAGCTGAGTGGCATTGTTCATTTCGCCGGACTTTCCAATGTTTATGATCTTGATTTCTTCAAAGAGCTTAGACAAATTGAGTATGTGCTCTCACCTAATTCTTTTTCCGATAATATTTCTTATAATATAAGTTTCAAACAACCTGTATGAAAGGAGAAACTAGGACATGAGAATATAATGTGCTGGCTGGTGGGTGGAAGTTTCAAAGCTATTTTTTATTTAAGACAATGGAGATTAATTTAACAAATGAAAGAAGAGTATATATACTCTAAAAATACTAGGAAAAGATGTTTCAGCCAATCCCTGGTAAGTTGCAGAAAAGAGTGAGTGAATAATATTTAATTTATACACATTTTTTCAAATATGCAGGGTGTTTGGAACTTGGTCAATGGCCTTACTTTCAGCAAACAAGAGGAAAGTTGTGATTGAAGGTCCAGTTTGTGATTCCTCTCAAGTTATAGGATGGCATTTGACGAAAATGAACAACCAGACAAATGCAGGGCCAAAACCTCCTATTCATATATCTAGCTTTGCATTCAACAGTTCAATTCTTTGGGACCCTGAGAGATGGGGTCGTCCCACACCTGTTCAAGGCACTTCACAGGTAAGCAAATATTCTCTGAACCAACCTTTTATTATACATTATAAAACTATTTTAATGTTATTGCTGCATTCCATCACAATAATAAAGCTCTCATTTTGAGATTCTGTTCTATCACTTGCTTAGGATTTAGCCCAGTAACAACTGGTTGACCTAAGATTAGGCTTAAAACTCAAACATTTAGGATTTTTTGATCCACTATCTAACAGTTTGGTAGTAAATGGCATTTAAATCATACTGAGTGATGCAAGTAACCAAAATTAGGTTACAAAGAATGCTTTTCCTGTTTTTACCAGGAAAGCAAATGGTTCAGTAAAGGCTAGACCAACATCCATTAATTTATTAATAACAGTGGCATACAGCATACCTTGACAGATATTAGATAACGTGTTAATTTATAAGATGTTAGCTGTTGCTTTGTTCAGTCACCCCACTCCGAAACTAAGTAAAAAGTATAATAAAATAAAGGGTACTTAGAAGCTTTTACATTATTCAAAATGGAGCTATAGACATGGCAAGAACAGCCTTTCTCTGGTGGGTTCTGACATCTTCAAGTGCTGGTTGTATGCTTTCTTCAAGTGCATCTGTCATCAACTTTAAGAATTTTTTATTGAGAAACTTTTTTTTTCCCTTCAGAATTCACTCAAATTTGTGAAACAAGTTGTTCTAGAAGATGAGACCAAGCTAAAGGGTATCCCACCAGAAGAGTGCTCCAAAATCATGCTTTGGCGTCTTCGCTTTCCTATTGGAGAAGTGCCAAGAAATCTTGTCAAAGTAATCTCATTGTTGGATGTTGTTACTCAAAGTTAAAGGAGGAAAAAAAAACTGATGAGGAGAGAAGATTTCAATTGGAGGAGAAAATATGATCATATTATAACATCTATAATCTCAATTTTTTCCATTTATCATGTAAATTTTTTAAATTTTTACACATTTTTCAATTTTTTTGTTCTCTTCATTTAGTGTCAGCAACATTGGTACCATCTTTTTCTTGCCAAGAAACAAATATTACCAGAAAAAAAAAAGATATAAAACAGCCAATAAATAATTGAAAGATATTAAAATTAAGCTCGAAAATATAACGTAAAGACAAATCAACCAACCTTGGAACCTCTGATCAAAATTCCTGAATCATGATCAATTATGGGCCATAGGGCAATGAATTTATGTCTTTTTTCATTAGCTGCAGCCTGATTTTTGTAACATTTGCATTTCCCACACCTTTCAACAGGTGGCCTGGCCTATCTTGGTCTCTGGGCTGATTTCTGGTCCTTTAACCATTCTCTCCATCAGCTTCACCCTGCCAAACCTGGTCCTACAATTTAACAATAAGTGCTACAACTATATTCAATCAAATACCGAAATTAAAATAGCAATGAGTTGATAAATTAACGGTATTCGAGTCGATTCCAAAATTAAAGGTTTTGATTTTAAATTTTAATTATGAACTAAAAAATAAAAAGTACAAAAATTAAAGTAATGGGCCCATTTTTTAAAACGTGCCTCCAATAATGCTTTATTTAGTTGAAAAAAATTATGATATGAACGTTAGTATTTTAGAGTTGGATTTTTATTTTACGCCACCTTACAATTGTTGATTATAATCTATTTGCCATGTTGGCTTTTATTATGGAATATAAAATATTAATTAGTCAATCAACTTGTAATCAAGCTATAATCAAGCTATGTGAGCAAATAGTTCATTAACCAAACTTGCATGAAAAACTTGTTTTTTTTTTTTTTTATTATTATTAACACAGTGGCCGCTATTTACACATAAATCCAAGAATCATGCTATATAGTTTTATTAACACAACACACCTCGAGCTTTGAACAAATTAATTAAAGCTGTTATAAATAATTTTAATATCAGTCAAACTACATAGTGTCATTTAAATAGTTGGTTGATTGATCAATCAAGTTTTATTTTAAGACTACCAAATTTTTTTTCTTTTTTTAATTCTAAAAATGGTTTAAACTTGTGGGGATGTCTACCGACAACTTGCCACATAGGCCTTGCGCTATATAATACTATAAGTATTATTATTATTATTTTTTATTTTCCCATTTTGTTTAGCTTTTAACTAAATATATGATTTTGCAAAATTATCACTTGAGAAAGCTTAAAAAAATATCACTATGTATTTTTTTTTTATATATAATTGAGGTCGTTAGGAATTAAATTTTTATTACTAAAATTAATATTTTAATATTTTAAAAAACATTTAAAATATTTTAATTTGGTGTTTAATAATGTTTTCATTAATAATACATTAATTTAGTATTTTATAAAAAAATGGACCCTACCTGCTGTAATATTATCAAAACAAAATGTGCATGAATCAAATGGAGATTTAAGACGTTTCTAGACAACTCAAAAATTAAAAAATTAAAAAATTAAAAAAATTTTTCGAATACTTTATATATATATATTATAAGTGGCATTTAAAAAAAATTAAAAAATTTTTATTTGGGAAGTAAAAAATAATTTACCCAAGAAAAAGAGTAGATTTTACTGTCAAAAGTTTTACAGTTGAGCTTCAGTTTTCACTGATTACTGAACTGAAGTGCCATTGTAATTTGGAAACAACAGAAAAAGAGAGTGCTTTTTAACTATGTTGGTTACCAAAATTTGGGATTGAAAAGCAAAGGTGGATAGATTTTTTTCAACCAATCAGGGGAGACAGGCAATCTGTTAAATTAAGTGGGGCCCTGTATCCCAACACAAGAAGTGGGGTCACATAGCAAAAAAAAAAAAGGAAAAAAAGACAGCTGTTTCTTCATATTATGTAAAATCATCTTGTCCAAGATCTGTTTTGTTTTTCCTCCTCCATATCACAAGGAGGCAGCTAGAGACCCTTTGAAGTTTCTGATCTTTTCAGTTTCTTTTGTGAATTAAAAAAAAAAAGAAAGGAAAGAGGACCCTTTCAAGCTCTTTGAGATCTGAGCATTACAATCTCAGGTAGTTTTGCTAATTTTGTTCTCTCTTTTGTTTCATGGACCCCAATTTAAAGATGCATTTTTTAGCTTCATTCTGTTTGAATTTTCTGTTGCTTGGTATTGCTAATTGTCTTTCAAAATCTGGGTAGTTTCCTAATTTGTTAGAAACCAACCATTTGTTACATATATTTGGAGACTTTTGTGCTTAGCCTGGTTGAGGAAAAAATCAGGAAATGAAGAAAATTTGAAATTTTTATAGCTAAAGTTGTTATTGTACAGTTTTCCTGGAGTGGAAAAACATTTACTTTGAAACATTTACACCCCTATCTGCCCCTTTTAATATTTGTTGGAGAATGTTCATTCTGTAAAATCCTTCTATTTTACACTGAGAAATCATTTCTAATTTCTAGCTTAATGCATTTAGAGAAATGCTAATTTTTTTTTGTTTTGCCTCTTAAAGGATCATACTGAGGAAAGATAAGATGGGGAAGAAAGGAAAATGGTTGTCTTCTCTAAAGAAAGTCTTCAGCCCAGAGTCCAAGGACAAGAAAAACCAGGTTTGGAGAAGTCCCATTCAGCTTGCCTGTAGTTTATAGTTCTCGATGAGTTTTTACTATTCTTGATTGCTATGTTTTTCAGAAATCAAAAGAACAGTCTTTGGAGAAGCAGGTGCATTTGGGTCCCAGTGGTCCTGATGCAGCCACTTTAGAAACTGTCAAATTGTCCCCTCCTTCTCAGCCCGAGGAGGTGAAATTATTTGAAGCAGAGGCTGAACAGACCGAGCAGACTTACCCTGTGGCAGTTGCCACTGCTACTGCTGATGCTGTTGCTCCTGCTGCTCCAGCTCAGGCTACTGTAGAGGTTGTTCCACGTCAACTTAATACAGGTGCTAGGTTTGCTGGAAAATCTAAGGAGGAAGTGGCGGCAATCAAAATTCAAACCGCTTTCCGAGTTTACCTGGTGTGTGCTGCAACATAACTTTGATTTTCATGTTTTCCTTAGGAGGCTGTTGCCTTCTCATTTCTTACTAGGAATTCAATTGAATCTGATATATATGGTTATCGATCAGGTCCGGCGAAGTCTTGGTTAATTCTGCTCATCCTGCACGAACATTCCAAAAATCTCTTTATGAAACTTTTTCTTGATAATGGCTTAAGTTTCTTATCAATTATTTTTTGCAAGAAGAGGAATGTTTAAGTTTCTTATCAGTTGTAACGTTGAAGAGACTTTCATGGAACAAAAGCTCAAGAGAATGAGAATCTTGTACTAGTATATGCCAGTAGCTTGTAAAAAAAAAAAAACATCTATGTATGTGTTCCCAAGTCAAATTAAATGACACACCCCAACCGCCTCGCTTATCATAATTTAGTTTTCAGCCACAACTGAAATTTATTTAATGGATTTGCTGATCATGATTTCTTGTTTTCAGGCAAAAAGAGCATTGCGAGCTTTAAGAGGACTGGTCAGGCTGAAATCATTGATGGAAGGGCCTGTGGTCAAACGGCAAGCAGCTAATACCCTTCGCTGCATGCAAATGCTTTCTCGTGTGCAGTGTCAGATTCGTACTAGGAGAATTAGGATGACAGAAGAAAATCAGGCTCTTCAGAGGCAACTTTTGCAGAAACATGCAAAAGAGCTTGTAAACTTGCAGGTAAATCCGCTTTTTTCTCTGATATATCAGCGTGATTGACTTGCTTGAATTGGTAGCAAAGTTAGTAGTCTGGGTTTATATCCTGGAAAATGTGATGTAGAAGTTGGACTGCTCCGAAGTGGATTCAAATTTTTTCTCCAAGATCTGGTTTTTCTTACATAAATCCCATGATTAGAATTATTTTATACATCACAAACAAATAATATAATTGATTTACCCATTATATACAGCATACAGGGGATTTTGGAGTGATTTCTGTCACTGCAGTCAACCTGAGTTCCCTAAATGACTATATATTTTCATATAACCATTTAGTTTCTGATAAAAAAAGTGCCCTTAGCTTTTTCCAACAGTAGAAAACCATTCTATCATGTTGATTTTTCATAATGACTCCCTCCTGCTGACCGTAGGTTTTGAATGTTTAAACAGATGGGGGAAGACTGGGATGACAGACTGCAGTCAAAGGAACAAATTGAGGCAAGTTTACTGAGCAAGCATGAGGCCGCTATGAGAAGAGAAAGGGCCATGGCGTATTCATATACTCATCAGGTGACCTGGTCCTCCAATTTTATATATGCTATTGGAATACATGAAGAGCATCAAATATTTAATCTTTCCTCTGTGTGTTTCAAAGTGTGGGAGTTGAGAGATGTAACAACATCATTAAGTGACAAGAATGAATGAATGAAGCATAACTAAATTACTTCAAAAAAGGTTCTCCATAGCTTGGTGATGAGGCAGGAAGTAGCAGTTCCTTTGCAACTTCTAGCATTACTATAAATTATTGTACTGCCGTATAGTTTAGCATAATTTAGTTCTGTGTCTGACGCCTACATATAACTTTTGCAGCAAACCTGGAAGAATGCTTCAACATCTATGAATCCATCATTCATGGATCCAAACAATCCCTCCTGGGGTTGGAGCTGGTTGGAACGATGGATGGCAGCCCGGCCATGGGAGGGTCGTGGCATGACAGAAAAAGAACAGAACAATGAGCAGGCATCCCTAAAGAGTGCATGCAGCAACTTTGGAGGAGAAATCAGCAAAGCTTATGCTCGCTACCAACTAAATTTGGATAAGCAATCCCCAAAGGCCAGCCAAAAGCCAAGCCAAACTTCAAGTCTCCTATCCCCTTCTACTCCCAAGCCAGCTTCAACACCTGCCCGAAAGCTGAAACAGGCAAGCCCTAGGAGCAGAGTGGTTGGTCCTGATGATGACGCAAGGAGCATACTCAGTGTCCAGTCAGAACGAAACCGCAGACACAGCATTGCAGGCTCCTCAGTGCGTGACGATGAGAGCCTAGCAAGCTCTCCATCACTTCCAAGTTACATGGTACCAACTAAGTCCGCAAGAGCCAAGACCAGGTTGCAGAGTCCCTTGGGACTAGAAGCTAATGGAACACCCGAGAAGGGGCCTATTGCTTCTACCAAGAAACGGCTTTCTTATCCACCTTCACCAGCCAGGCCAAGGCGGCACTCCGGTCCTCCAAAAGTAGACAGCAACATGACTAATATAGAAGTTGCTATCACGAATGGAAAGGCCAGTTAGTTTTTCTAATTAAAAAGAGATTGAAGGAAAGCAAACATTATATGGCTGTGGAGAAGTCCAAAGGAGCAAAAACAGGCAGGAAGAGACATGAAGCAAAGAGGAAAATTCTAGTCATTTGATTTCTGAAGTTTTAATTCATTGTTTGCTCGGATTAGCTGTCATCTAAAAATTCCTTCTCATACATCTTTTTTTTTTAATTTATTTTTATGCCTTCAGGTGACAGAATGATAGTTGTGATTGACAGCAAATCATGTCCAAATTTAGTTTATTGAAATTTCTTATGGTGTTTGCATTTTTTATTTTATTTTATAAAAGAGACAGTAGTTTGGTTATTTGACAAGATTGAAAAATATTTTAGTTCTTAAAATTTGAATTTCAGTAAGTTATATATTAATATGAATTAATTGTATTAAATTTAGATTTTGCTGTGTTTGTATCTTGATTTTATAATAAATATTTTGTTTTTGTTTATTTTGGTACTTGATACTGTTTCATTTCGTACTCTTTTCATTTTGTGAGATTTATATGATGATGGATGTTCATTCATTGATCAAATTTTATTGGAATATTTTCACAACTTTATAGAAAGATCAAAAAAATTAGTACAAGTTGCAGAAAATGGCAGCCGTGTAACGGAAAATACATAAAAGCCTAAAGGTCGTGGGGTCAAGTAGATGTGTTTTAGAGTCAAGTTATCTATTCACATTTTTCTTTTAAAATTCGGGTTTGAATAAAAAATTAAAATATGTTAAATGAATTTAAATATAAATTAGATTAATTTAAATTTTGGATCAGATTTTAGATAAAATTTTTATAATTTGAGTCTAACCCAGCTCAACCTAGTTTTAATTCATATTTATAAATTAATTATTATATATATATGTAAATTATATATAAATTAATTCACATATATATAAATTAAAAATTAAAATTAAACTTAATAAAAATTATGTATAACTTAATTTTATTTTTATAATTTTAATTTATATATAGATGTGCATAGAATATAAATTCATTAAACTTAATTTATTCATATGTTTTTAATTTTTTTGTTATATAAATTAAGTCTAAAAGATGGTTTGAAATTTATTTTTTAAATTTGGATCTGGTGTGAGAAAAATTTTTAAATTAAAATTTTAAATCAAATCAATTAAACATATAAATTATTAATATCAAATATTAATTCAGTTTGAACCTGACTTGATCCGACCCATAAATACATTTAGGGTAAATTATGATTTTTATTTTTCATATTAATCATTAAAAAATTACTTGATAATAACAAAAACAATTTTTTTTTACAAACTCTTCACAGCAAAACTCTAAACTTTTCAGACAAATGATTTGTCCCTTCAAAAACAAATCTTTTTTCGTAAAAGTTGAAAATTATTGATATATATATATATATATATATTCAAAAACTATATTTTTTTTACTTAAATAATTGGGGTTTTGATTTCAAGCTAAGTGAAAAAAATAGAAAAAACCGAGTCTTTGTCTAAAAAAAAAGGGTGGATATGTAGAAGAGATCGTGCTTTTATAATTCTCTCAAAATAGAAGTTATTCCAAATATATTTACCATGTTTTTTATTTGACAGGGTATAAATATTTAATTTTTTTATTTTTAAATACTTTTAAAGACATATTATCAATATTAAATAACAGTAAATTTGTATCTCGTTTTCGTGATATTATAAATGAATTATATATATCATGGTGAATTCTTCAAAAAAAATTATCTTCCACAAAGTAATCTGACAGCAACTGCTTATGCGGGGAGATATAGTTTTTGAGCTTGGCAGGCATTTAAGGCAAGACAACCGACGGTTAGAGCACGAAGATTTTATGAAGGTGGATTTCAGCCTGCTATGACCAGGAGAGAAGCCGCTCTCATCCTCGGTGTAAGGTATTATTTACATCCTTTTTCTCAAAAATAATTCTTTTTATGTCAATCTGTATGCTTTATATTATGGGATTGTTTCATTGAAGTTGAAAGTGTTTCTAATAAATTTTGTGCTTATTTGGCAATTTCATTTACACCATTTTCATTTATAAGCTCTGTCTATTACAAATAATTTCAGTTAAATTATTTTTATTTACATTTTGTTTCTAGTCAGACAAAATACTTCAATAGAAAAGATTAAGGAAGCACATAGGAGGTTGATAGTTGCGAACCATCCAGATGCTGGTGGAAGCCATTATCTTGCATCAAAGATCAATGAAGCAAAAGATATGAAGCTCGAAAAAACCAGAAGTGATACCTCTATATTTTGAAGGCGTTGAGATTTTTCAGTCATTGCAAAAATTTATTGAGATTTTTCAATTATTGCAAAAATTTGTTATGAAGATTTATCGTGCAAAAATTTATCATGCCAATGCCCTAAACCAAAGGTATCTATTCAAATAATTCATTTTACCCTAATAATTGTAGACTACTTGGAAAATCTCAATATTTTAGTTTATAGTTATTTCAATTTGATTTGTATTGCTTGAAAGAAAAATAAGATTTGTTTATTTTAATGGTTTTACTTATTATAGTTAATGATCTTAAATGGACAAGGCTAATTTTTTATATTTTTATGTATTTTTAATAAAAAAAATGGAAGAATCATTTAGAATCTTAAGGCTCTAGATCTTACTAGTCAATTTGTTTCATTAATCTAACAATATTTGCAGGAGGTCATAATGAATATAATGAGTATCAATTTGATTATTTGACTAAAAGTTGTTAAATAATCAACATTTTTATTGTAAATTCCACTAGTTTTATGAGAATTTGGGAGTTTCTATGTTGTTATCTATGTTCTCATACAAATGAGTAGAGAGCTCCCTATCTATAACTGAGCCTTCCTAAAACATGTGGTCTTTATTGTTCCAAGTGGCCATCCCTAATCTTTTAATCTGTTTTAAGACTCCTAAACTTAAGTTAGACCTGTGGTCTTTATTGTTCCAAGTATGTGGCCAGCACATGGCTTCTAAACTGTTTCAAGATCCTTGGACTCAAGTTAGGTCGATTAGACGACCCTTTGACTCAAGTGAGGTCGATTAGACCCTTTCTAAAATTATGCTACTTCTAGGCTTCCTGATGAGTATCGGGTCTGAGAGGGTTCATGCACTCCCGGTAAGTGCCAGCACCTAAAGGCTTCTCTATCTTTCTCTACCTGGGCACTACTCTGACGTTTTAGCATCTTCCTCATCTGAAAGCTACAGTGCCTGTGTCTGACCCTTTTAAAACAGTTTGTGCTTGCACGCCTGATCTGTCTCTAGATTGTTTAAGAGCCTTCTGTGTCTGTCTGCTAACATCACGTTTCTAGGGCATTTTAGATTCTTCCACTATACGGCTTTCACACTACTCTCGCATCCTAACCTGCACTTAGGTCTCATATATACTTTTAGAGCTTCGATCTCGATTCTTTCTGATCCATTACCCGTACCAACTCAAACAAGCAGCGTCACATGATCCATTTAGACTAGGACTTGTCACGAATGTGACACAGCCATCTGCTAATGCAGAAGCCCTGTACCTCAAGCACCTGCTAAACATAGAAAGCCTTGTTCTTCTAGGAGTTATCGAAACGTGTCGGTACAAGATTTTAATGATTTAAAATTTCATAATTTTTTTAAGGTCACCAATCCAAAACCCAATCTTAGTTCTCAAACAAACCTTCTCATCATGTGAATAGATCAGCCCAACATTAAGCGCTCAATATAGAGAGGCCTTCTCTTCATTTATCAAACTTTAAGCCTATTTGATCGGATAACATATGCTTAAGTCAAGTCAAAATTCCTCTCAAATCACCTCATAGCTCGTCGTACCTCATCTAGCAATAGTTTGCCTTCTAGTATTATCCAAAAAAATTTTAAAAATTGTTGAAAATTGTTGTCAACTTTGTTTTATTAAAGAGTAAAATACATCTAAAATTTTTAATTTTCAATATAATTTAACTCATATTCATTTTTTAAAACAATGGACATTCCATCTAAAAAAATTTTCAATTAATAGGACCCGGAGGTCTTTCGTCAGTTAACTTTATTAAAAGACTCATTAAAAAATTATTTTATCATTAAAAAATCAATATCTTAAATATCACATAAAATAATTATTTATAATAATAAATTTTTTAAATATATAAAATATATTAATAATATATAAAAAAAATTTTCAAGTGCAATATATAAAAACAAAATTCAAAATTATAATTAGAACATGTAACATGTAATAAGCAAATACTCACATAAATAATTATTTATAACAATAGTTTTTTCTTAAAATATATAAAATATATTAATCATATAAAAAAAAGATTTTTAGGTGCAATATATAAAAATAAAATTCAAAATTATAATAAGAAAAAATGTTATAATAAAACATGTAACATATAATAAAAAAATATTATTTATAATTTGAATTATAATAAAAAAAAGTTATAATAAGAATATGTAACATATAAGAAGCAAATACTCATATAAAATAATTATTTATAATAATAATTTTTCTCTTAAAATATATAAAATATATTAATAATATATAGAAAGGATTTTTAGGTGCAATATATAAAAACAAAATTCAAAATTATAATAAGAAAAAATGTTTTAATAAGAACATGTAACATATAATAAGAAAAATATTTGGTTAAAAAAATGTTATTTATAATTGTGAATTATAATAAGAAAAAATGTTATAATAAGAACATGTAACATATAATAAGCAAATACTCACATAAAATAATTATTTATAATAAGTTTTTTCTTAAAATATATAAAATACATTAATAATATATAAAAAAGATTTTTAGGTGCAATATATAAAAAAAAATTCAAAATTATAATAAGAAAAAATGTTATAATAAGAACATGTAACATATAATAAGAAAAAATATTTGGTTGAAAAAACATGTCATTTATATATTGTGAATTTTGTTTTTATATATTGCACCTCTAAGAACATGTAAATATAATAAGCAAATACTCACATAAAATAATTATTTATAATAATAAATTTTTTCTTAAAATATATAAAATATATTAATAATATATAAAAAAAATTTTAGGTACAATATATAAAAATAAAATTCAAAATTATAATAAGAAAAAATGTTATAATAAGAACATGTAACATATTATAAAAAAATATTTGATTAAAAAAATGTTATTTATGATTGTGAATTTTCCAATTTTTTTAATGTATTATTAATATATTTTAAGAAAAAATTATTATTATAAAAAATTATTTTATGTGAGTATTTGAAGATATTATTTTTTTAAGAATAAAATGATCTTTTAATGAGTCTTTTAACGGAGTTAACTGATAAAAAAATTTTAATATCC